AGTTGGTAGTTTGTTCTTTGCCATTGAAGAGGTTTTGAATTGGGAAAGGTGAACGTGGTGCAATGGTGGTTTTGGAGAGAGGGAGAGGAAATCACAAAGTGAGAGAGAGAGAGTGCAAAAAGTTATTCCGCTTTTTTAGTAAGTAAATAATTATCTCAATTAATGATATCACTCAACAACTTAATTTGTTCAGATAATGTTTTAGAAACCGTTACAAATAGATAATTCAACTTTTAGGTATAATTGCAATATTTTATGCATGAATTAGTAAATTTATAAATAAACTTATAATAGGGGCACAAGTGTAATATACATGATAACTGTAAGTAGAGGATGCAATTTCCTCTTTAATTTCCTGGGAGTGTCACGCAACAGGGACAATTATTAGATATGGCCCATAATAATGAATTGAGTGGTTTTATATTTGCTAAAGATGTTGAGGTATACACGTGGCCAAAGGATTTTTATTATTACGGGAGATTCCTTATGGGCAGTGCACTCCACATTGGGGGATATTTATTTGCGTAGAGTATAAAAAGCCTGAAGTCATTATTTGTAGAGGGGACTGGGACGCACAACAGGAGGGAGGCGCCACGCAAAACCTGAGAAAAGAAAAGGAGAAAAGCAGACATAGACGTGAGAAGAGGACAGACGGGAAATCCGACAGAAGCGGAGGGAAGCCGCACCTGCACACGAAAGGGGATAATTCTATTCTTTTTCTTTTGTTTTTATTTATTATGTTAGGCTAGTTTTATTTCTAGTTCCGAGGATGTCGAACCCTACGACTTGATTATGTTTGATTGATTTACGTGGTTGATTATTGAGTTATCTTTTTGGAATTGTTTGTGTTATTTTGAATAATTAACCATGATGTGTTGAGTCTTATTTAGATTGATCACCTAGATTAGGCTTTGCATATCTACACCTGAATTAGGCCTTCAATCCGTAATTGTTGATGTGTTTAATTCGCAAGTGATATCCGGAAGATGGTAATTACCGGGGATAACACGGCCTATTTAAGTGAACGAACGCGGTTGAGTTCACTACATAGTCTAGCCTATTTTTCTAATTCGTAAAGCGGCTAATTGAATTAAATTTAGGAAGCGTTTCCTAGACTGTTCAAGAGGTCAGATTTAACCGTAGAGCGTCTCGCGGTTAGATTAAAAATAAGGAAAAATTCGGGTAACAGACCGTGTCGTTACCTAGGGCTAGTAATATCATAAGATAGCGAGATTTGATACCAAAGTTGATTAGACGAGTCAGTCGAGGGTGTAGACGGAACCGTGAACTAGAAATTTCTCTTATTTATTTATTTTTATTCCATTTGCTTAGATTTTATTTGTTTCATTAGAATTTTAATTAATTTAGCTATTAAATCCAATCCCCCCCTTATCGCTTTTATAATTCAATTAATACAAGAAAATTAACGATTTGATACACACTCCCTGTGGGTTCGACCCTTACTCGCCGCTATACTAATTAGTAGAGGTTAGTCGAGGAAAATATAAATATTAATTTTACCGCGTTGCGACGCGCGGTCAGTTCTTATATATGATATTACATTTATTCTTGTACTTGAGTGTGTCTATATACATTGTGGAACTTTGACATTTCTATGATGTCTCTAGCTCATGGCATTTGATAGGAAGTTTAAGCTAAACCTTTTAAGTCCCAATATGTAAATACATTCTCGGAGCAGCTCTTATATGTAAAAATGTGAGACGTGGGCCACGTGGCAAAATGTGAGGCAATTTATTGCTTGGAGATATCACATTATGGCTTAAGAATTAAGGAACGTCTCTGATTATTAGAAATCCTCTGCATATACATTTCTTCTTTTACTCTTTTTTCCTTCTACACAAAGTTTCCCTTTTTTTTGCTCTACTCATCTTCTTGACCAACACAAGGAATTGAAACCTAACCTCTCTTTGTCTCTTTTCTCTCTCAAATAATTAAGTACGGAGCTCTATTTTCAGCCCCAATCGAACCCATGATCAACCCTCCCCTCCCACCGGACTAGATGCTTTTCTTACCTTGATAGTCGTTCGCCAGCGTCGATGACCCAATGCCCGCTCTCAAACGTCAGAGCTACGACTAGCTGCTTGGATATTTATGAATCCATCGACATCGAACGCGAGGAGCAGAGGCAGCAAAGGCGGTCAGTGGCCAGTGGAAGAGGCGAGGCATTGGCGATGCTGGGATTGAAGTGCACGAAGCTGAGGCAGAGGAATCGACCGGACTTAAGGGAAGAGGTTTTAACGATTCTGGAGAGGTTACGAGAGTTTGCAAAGAAGACTCAAAATTTGGGGTCGGTTTCTCAGCCTTCTCTTAAACACTTCACACGTCCGATTATCAAGGTATTTTTATGTTTACTATGCCGGTGTTTATATATTCTACTAGATTTGATCGACCTGAATACTGGGCTTATTCTGCCAGGGTCCAATATCCCATATCAGAACCCATAAATGATGGCCAAATGAGTGAGCAATTTGGATTTAAGCTTTCATGCAGAGAAAGCGCATTGGGCCATGTCATCGTTGTCACTTGTTTTGGCCAATAGTGTCCTGTGTGGTCTCCACGGCCTCTTTGACCTTGTGGACAAAACTCTTGCAGCTCATTGTGATGAAATATTGGTATTTCTATGAAGGTTCACATTTCGTTTCTTCTTTTAACTTCATATTTAGTTCTGACTAATCATTTTTGTTTTACAATATACTAATGAAGTTGGGAGTTAAGCTTTAAGTTTCATCAATCTTTTTCAAACAGGTTGAAGGTATATGGTTGAAAGAAATATCATATACCGTTCTTGTTATCTTTAATTAAAGAAACTGGATAATTCCTCTTTGTTTCGTTCCTCTTTCATATTTCTGTTACTTTCCATATTGCTAAGCTTTGTTATCCTACCCTGCAGGCAAACTTTGTGTATGGAGCTCTACGTTGGCTAGAGGTAAACTCAATCTTCGTAATTGTATAACATTCTGTTTTCATGATAAAGTTGCAAGATATGTGGGGTGAGATCAACAGTGAAGGAGATAGATCAACTCACTAACATGAAGAATGGGATGAGAACTGCTAATACACACAACCCCAAATAAGCTGATGCCAAAAATATTTCACATGCAAGATAGTACAACAAAAGTAAAGTATCATTCCATAATAGTAATAAACAATACAAGTCACAAAAACACAAGACAGAGAATAAATCACACCAGGTTCTAGCCAAAATTATTAAGAAAACAAGAGTATTAAACACAAAAATTGTTAGCATATAAATAACCTAATGTGGTTAGGTACTAGCGGCTCCAGCTGCTGTTTGGCATAACCCTTTGCTATTTCAGCCAATTCTAATTGTTTAGAATCAAGTGGATCGTAGGCCAGACGTTGGTGAGATTGGGTATCAACAATGATTTCCTTAAGCGAGACACAGTTCTCCAACAAGTAGTTCACTAATTCAACGTCACTCGGGCAACCATAATAACCTATAAAACGAAAAACATTCATATGCTGGTGCAGTGGGAAGTGCTTCAATCCCTTCAGAATCTCGTTGTTTGACCTTTCAACTTTAAACCACCATTGCTGCCCATACAAGTGAAAATTAAATAAGTTCATATACCAAGTTAACACCTATAAATAATATACGACAACAAACACAGGTAGTAAAGCCATGCAATGATGACGAGACAGCAGGGATAATATTTACAAAGACCAACCTTTAACTCAAATTCTTGCAGGTTGGGAGATGCACTGAAGAAATTAGCTACGCCAAGAAGACTCGAGTCCACACCACGTAAACTTTCAATGATGACCAACTTCTTAAGTTTAGGCATCATGGGGAATTTGAGCATCGATAAAAGCTCCTGCAATAACAAATAAATAATTTTTTAAAAAA